TATACCTAGCAGTGGTATAGCTGGGTCTTGAGGAAGCACTATTCCTAATTGTCTTAGAAAGTGCCAGATAGATTTCCAGAGTGGTTGTACCAGTTTACATTCCCACCAGCAGTGGAGGAGGGTTCCCCTTTCTCCACAGCCTCTCCAGCATGTGTTGTCCCTTGAGTTTTTCATCTTGGCCATTCTGATGGGTGTAAGGTGATATCTCAGGGTAGTTTTCCCAGAGTACTGGACATAATCATAAATTTACATTACTGTAAGAAAAACAGTGACTAGCACAAGGTTAGAACACTTGTCTTTCCAACTCACCTCTTAGGAATGGAATTATTCTTCTGCCTTCTCTGTCTCTTCCACGAATCAGTTTCTTTCCCATATCCCCTTTACCAGACATTTACTCTGGCCACTTTTCATTGCTGGTTTTACAAATATAAAGTACCCACCTGACTTTTTGCTTCTGCAACTTGGTGATCTCAGAGTACAGATCCTGGCTTCATAATTACCAGCACTGTGAGAGAGTGAGGCAGCTTAAGACTGAGATAAAGGTCTGTGAATTTGTGAGTTCACCTCCCTTCAAAATCAATTTTCATTTCATCCAGAATGATAATGACAGACAGCACTCTATTTGGGAGACAAACTCATTTAGTAATCACTTTCCAATTCCTACTAATGGCACTTAGGAGTTTCTCCTGAATGTCTCCAAAGGGGAAATGTGTTTAGAAATAGTGCTAAGTTTTCATGATGCCTGTTCACTGGCTGTATCTGCTGGGGAACATGCTAGAAACTCTGAGTTCATTTTCATGAGAAATTCCCAGAAGTCTCCATGTCTCATTGGACCCAGGATTTGGTGACTTCCTCAAACAAAAATCAACTTAGTTCTTTCAAAAATAGGTTTAGAACATATACTAATTAAATGCTCTCTGGATATCTCATACATGTATAAGTGTTTTAGTCAAGTCCACCCCCTATTATCTCTTTACCAGCTCCTTTCTTATCCCCCCACCACTGCCCCGTCCAATTTTCACATGTTTCCTAAAATAAAGACAAACAAAACAAAACAAACCCTGAGTCTACTTCGTGATGCTAATATGTGTTTAGTGCAGGGTTATCTTTGGAAACATGGGTGACATTGTACCTGTTGAGTCCTTATAGATATCTGATGCATCCTCTGGCCAATAGGTCTTCTGCTAGAAGTGGGATCTCCTGATTCTCTTCAATGTGCTGGAATTTTTTTTAGTGTGACCTTGTGGAGGTTTTGTGATAGTGATATAACAAGTGAATTTATATGTTCAAATGTCCTGTTCTGTCTGTACAGAATCTGTTCCTTGGAATTATCTATCATATCTGTTCTTATACACTTTCTGTTCCTACTGCCATGATGATCACTGAGTCACTGAAAGGAAAGGTGTGATATAGATGTCCCATTCTTAGCTGGTCTTCCACACTCTCTCATTCTCAGCACTTTGAATAATTGTAAGCCCCTGTGTTAATTACTATAGAAGCTTCTCTGACAAGGATTGATAAATACAGTAATCCCTGATGTAATTGTAAGAGCTTAGGAAACAGTTTATTACTAAATCCATTTAGTATTAAAATAGTATTAATTTCTTCTCCAGAGTATAGGTAGTCTTTAGCCACAGTCATTGTTCCTGATATTTGTGCCAGGCATGGGTTCCATCTTGTGAATTGGGCCTTTAGCTCAATCATGAAATGGTTAGTTATTCCCATGATGTTTTTGACACTCTTTCACCAGGCTTGTGGTTCTCAGAGTGCAGTCTTGGTAAAATTTATGATTATGTCCAGTACTCTGGGAAAACTACCCTGTAGGGATGAAGCTTCATGGTGACCTCCACCTATTTCTCTCTGCTCCATGACTCAACTAAATGGTATATTCACCATTAGGATATAACACTCTAGAAATCATTGACCTTTAAACATGACATGATATTAATATTGATCTTAATTGTCCTCAAGTTATTTCCTAACTTTAAATTGCTGTTTATTCTGCCATATTTTAGCATACAGGCAGAAGTAATCAAATATAAAAAGAATATCTAGTGAACAAGGAGTAAAAGTAAAGACATGGTACCACAGTTATTATAGGAGGTAGCTCGAACCCATTGTATAATATAATATAAGTTAACTTTAATGATAACATTAAAATATTTTGGTTATAATGTAAAAATAAGGACCTCACCATGAAAGTTTGCTCCTCAGCATGCAATCAAGTGTGTGCTAAAGTAAATTTCCCATCAAATTGTTCTCTGTTGTATTTTCTTCACACATATAGAAGAGTAAATACTACAGATTTATTATACCAACATTACTAAGTTGAGGAATTTGAGAAGCATAAACTGTCCACTACTACTTCAATGCACTGATAAATAGTGTAAACATAACCTTTATTTTAAAACTGTGTTTTGGATCATGGGTGAAGAGAGTGTGGAACACATGTCCCATTTAGGGCTGAGAACTCACAGCCTCATACTCTCAGCACTATGAGTTGTTATGCATTTCTTCACTGACATAAGCCAAAAAGCAAAAAGATGTTTCTATGATCAAGGTCGAGAGCCACATAGGTCTGTAGGTACAAGCATTGTAGCTAGAAGGCAATTTGACAGCATGATCATTTAGGAAATTAATAAACACAGGCTCTAGCATAAGGCTGACTGATTAAAGGGTCACACCATTCAGACAGTTGAGAACCACTTCATTAGATATTCTCTCTAACTGTCTCTCACTCTCTCTCTCTCGTTAATCTTGCTCTCCTCTGTTTCTATCTCTCTCTCTATGTGTGTGTGTATTTATCTCACATGCAGACACTCAACACCATATTTTATTGGTAATAACATTCTCATAGTAATAACAATACTACTGATATGTGTGTTAATTTTGATATTACTTAACTGTAAGTTTATCATAGCTAAGAATTTTTGCACGAGTATTCATAGCCTCTTAAGTATAGAATCATATTAATAATATTATCTAAAAGTAGAGATATTGGATTTTGTTTGTATTTTTATTTCATTTTCCTAAACATACTAAATTCTGTATGTCAAAGCCTTATCAAATGAAATATAATAGATGAGGGGCTGTCTCTGACAAGAACTCAGTGTCCTGCTCTTTGATCACTTCCCTGGGTGTTGCAGCCTTGCCAGACCACAGAGGAACAGGTGCAACTAGCCCTGAAGAGACCTTATAAGGTAGGGTATAATAGAAGGGAAGGTAGTTCGCTGCTATCAGTGGACTACAGGAGAGGCAAAAAGGGAGAAAAGGGAGGGTGGGTTGGGACTGGAAAGAGAGAAGGGAGAGTGCTACTGCTAGGACACAATGTGAATAAATAAATAATTAAAATATAATATTTTAAAAAGGAATAATCAACATTAATAGGGATCATAGAAATGCAAATCAAAATGAATTTGAAGTTCCATCTTACACCCTTAAGATTAACTAAGATCATGCTCACCAAATATGAAAAAAAACAAATATCATCAATTAAAATTATAGTATTGGAAGTTCTATTTTATGTACAAATAAGATGATATAAAAATACAGTCAGGAGGAGGCAGAATAAACAGGCAAAGACAAATAAGTCTAATGGAAAACTTAGAGTTACTTTTGATTTTCAATGATGAAACATAAAAACTCACGTGAAAAGCCCAAGAAAGTAAGCTCCGATGCTTTCCCTGATATTTTAACCTACAGCAAGTCTTTCTTTGGCAAAGTCAATGAACCTAGATGTACTAGATGCAAGCAAGGCATCGCTGAATAATATTTTTCTAGTAAACATGCCAGCATTAGGGAGTAACATATGTGGACATAAGTCACAAGACAGAAGATAGCATCATTTATTGTTCAAGAATCTTATGTTGCCCTCAGACAAGCACACTACCCTGTTTTCAACTAAAATTTCTGTCAGCCAATTCCCAATTACATATGGGTTATTAGACTCAAGCATGTGAGGGAAAAATTTAGAATGCCTTCAAATATTTAGAATGATTTTGTTTGAACACTCACACTAGTAGAAAGAAAAGATTTTCAAGAATTTGGACTTTTGGTGTCTATTTGATCCTCTAACACATCAAGAATAAAGCACTTACTTCCTAAAATAGTTTCATTTTTGTGATGACTGGCTTTCTTCTTTTTCCCTGTTTTTTTTTTCCTCGGGGATCAGGGAGGAACAAGCCAGTTTCTCTGCCTCACAGTCAGGTGGTCATTCCTGTCTAGTATGAGGTGCTTTAGCGTTCATGGTAATCTACCCTCCCACAACATCCACTGTGCTGAGATAGCAGAAGTGAGCCACCATGCATGGTTCATAAAGAAAGATATGCAACATATTTTTTAGAACAGAATATTAATGTCTGTCAGCAAAACTATTTTCTCTTTTTGTCAGTTGAACTGTGATTTTCAGTACCTGGAGAGCACAAAACAAGAATCCTTAGGATTTCTAAAGATCAACAGTAATGGAGAAATGGTGGGGAAGCTTGCAGCTAAAACCTCTTTGACCTCCCTCAACCAAAGAAGAGAGTCCACAAAAGAAATATGAAGGAAAGTACAGATACAGTCTAGAAGGTAAAAGCTCACAAATGTGACAACCACCATCAGGATGGTGTGAGAGGCTCTGGTCTCAGCATTGCCTCTGTTATCCAGCCTGGAGGTGTGGATGTGCTGCAGTCTCTGGTGGTGTCTTTTCAGAAGAATCACCATGGAGACACTGGTCCAGACCATGATACTGATGAATATGATGTCATAAGCAAAACGCAAGAAGCCCATGCCTATCCTGAAACCAGAGGTGGAGCAGACCCACTTGCTTTTAGAGTCAGAGTCATTGACTTTCTTCTGTGGACCAGTGACTTTCATTGGAATGTAGACATTATTTATGACACTGAACAACCAACAACTGTAACAAGAATAACTCACCGTCTTGGGAGATCTTTCTCTGAGTATCTCTCTAACCCAATTACCAGGAACAAGAGTAACAAACTGATAGGTGCTCAAAACACAGGTTGAACACAAGTTTGTGCCTCTAATCACCAGGAATAAGAAGTAGACAAGTTTACATGTGAGGTCAGACGGGGACTTCCTTGGAACAAAAACAGTTGTAATTTTTAAGAATCCCAAGAGGAAGAGAATCAAGGCACAGGCCACAGCTAAGTTGGCCAGAATGATATGTATGGGCCTCAGTTGAGAGTGATTCAAGACTGGAGAGAAATTATTCACAAACAGAAGAAAGTTGGCCACAGTGCCAACCCCAACCTGGCAAAGCAAAAGGATCTGAAGAACCACCTCCTCCCTGGTTTTGAGGGCATCATTCTGAGACAACATGGCCAAGGCTTCTTTGAACCACGTAGTAAGTTTCAATGCTGTTGTCTCTAGAGTATTCTCAATTCTCTGTGCTTTTCTAGTGATTTGGAGTCTTTTCTTTTCCCAAGAAGTGCAACACTATTTTATCACCCTACAGGAGCTACAACTGGAAAACACTGCATAGACATTAATCCAAAATATCAATTTTACACTTATTTTACTTTCTCTTGCTTCATGATGAAATTTTGTGTGTGATGCAACTTTATCTTTGTTGCTCAACAATATGACACACATTTTATCACAGTACAGGCATAGCATATTTACACATGATATTTATACATAGGAGAAAATTTTTACTTTATTAGAATTCAAAGTCTTTCCTCATGTTGTAAAACTATGAAAAGAAATATTTTTGAGAGACTGTTCTAGACTGAATGCCCTCCATTCTACTTTGTCTCACTGCATGCCTGAAATGAAATAAGCATAACTTTAAAATATATAATAGAAATTTAAATTTATACTTTTTATATAAAACAATATTACTGAAGTACATCCCCAAAATAAATGATCTAGTTTTGATATATATTTAGGCTACACATCATAGTAATGGAATACAAACTATTTCTGAAAAAGTCACTAGTGTTTTGTTCAAACAGATGAAGTGTTATTTATTCAAATATCATCTATGTTCAAAAATATCTGAAGAACTAAAACATATCAATGTTTCATGAGTTTCTGAAGTTTAAATCTTTTCAGAGAAAACTGCTGGGCACCTACCTGACTCATTTCCTGGTTTCATCACCCCAAGCCACAAACATTAGGAGCATCACATAAGCATAAGAAGGTTATTTGAAACTCAATAAATGCTCATGTTTAGTATGCAACTTAGTTGTTTGTTTGTTTTTCATAGGAACAACCAGGTCCATCCACAGGAAAAACTAGTAAGTTCACATATAGTTGTTACATTAAAGGACATTTTCAGAAGAGTACTGAGCCATGAAATAGACATTTCTTAGAATAATTGAAAGATTGATGTAGTTAGGTAAACTGTGGAAACAAAAATGAAAGCATTGCAATGATTAATGTTGGCTTCAGAATACATTGTGTATTGAAGAAGGAAGAAGAGAACTTCAGCAGAAATCTACAGTTGAAGGAATCTCACCTGCCAAGGCACAGCAAGGATAGGGTGGTTCACAAGGATGAAGTCCAGCTCCTGAACAGTTACTGCAGAAACACCGCTCTCACTTCCTCTGCCTTTGAAAACCTTCTCTGGGCATCTGCTTCCTAAGACAGATGCAAAGAAATTCCTACCTGTCTCATATTGTCCATGAAGTGCTGTGCAGAACACTGAATGTGTCCAGATTTCAGAGATTATAAAGGTACACTGTCTGGACCTGGCATTCCTCAGAGAGTCCATTACTATGTCCTCTATGGTGTTATTGACCATGTCTGTATGGGGATGTTGGAACACTCTAATGAAAAGAAAATCATTTATCCCCAGAGAAAATCATCATTTTCACTTCCTGATAATTCATGATGATGCCCAACAGTTTGCTAGATCTTAATGAGTAGCTGTGCAGAAGTTAGAAAAGTTTTTCATGTTTCCTTTGGGAGAATCTAAGTTATAAATTGGTGCTGCCTTCAAGTGTGAAGAGGTGCACTTAAAGAGAATTCAAGGGATTTGTTAGGTGTATTTCCAGGGGGTGTAGTAGACCTCATGCTTTCATTCTTGCAAAATCATGCTCCTATCAAATCCTTCCACAGAAGGCCATCAACCTGTGATCTCAAGTCTTGTATTTTCCCATGTGGGATGAGACATTTTAGTCTGACAATCACACAACCAAAACCAGTGTTTTGTCCATGAGTCCTTGTCTTATTCCAATTCCCATTGGTTTTGAGATAAATTATGACTACTTATCTGAGACAACCATGGAGTCTTATTAAAAGCATAACAGCCTAGGTGTGGTATGGCTGGATCTTGAGGAAGCATTATTGC